ACATCCCCCCCGCCCTCTGCCCCGCCCGCCGCCAGGTCGGGTGTTTTCCTGCGTCCAGGACTCCCCCCGGAATGTCTGACTCCAGCTCCATGCCTCACAGAAACCTATCAATTACCACAGTTACCCGAGCAGCTATTTGAGGCCCATCACGTCCTAATTCCTGGACAAGAGGGGCCATCAGCTGATAGAGTCGCCTAAGGGGCGGACACTGGAGCGGGAGGGGTGAAGCCCTGCCACGGGCTTCCCAGGCGCCGCCCAGGGAGCGCCGCTCTCACGTCCAGCAGGGCTCCCCTCCCTTGTTTCTTTCCTTTTCTTTTTTTTAATTGATTAGAGAGAGAAACTTGGATTTGTTGTTCCACTTATCCACGCATTCACTGGTTGATTCTCATGTGCGCCCTGACGGGCGTCGACCCCCAAACCTTGGACGACGCTCTAATCAACTGAGCTCACCGGCCAGGGCCCTCCCGGTTTCCTGCGGCAGGTCCGGGAGGGCACAGATGCCTCTTCTGTAAATCTCTGTGGGTCGAACTACGCACAGAACCATCGGCACAGAGAGGAGGGGACAGTGTCGCGCCGGGCGTGGAGCGGGATGGGGTGCACTGCAGTGGGACGGACCCTGCCCAGGAGCTGCTGGGGAGCCTGTCGGGCGCTGTCACAGCCTGAGCGCTGACAGCAGCGTCCCGCACAGGGAAAGTGTGATTATGTCCCCAAAGAGTAACGCAAGCTTTGAAAGGAAAATAGTTCTGAGACAGCGGCCTTGCGGCTCCTGGACGGCGGCTGCACCACAGCTGCTGCTTCCGGGGGAGCCTGTGGGCGGTGTCAGCTGTGCTAGAGGCAGAGCCGTTAGGAGGAGAGGCCACAAAGGCCGGCGTCTAACCAACTGATATTCGCTGAGTGAGGCCAAGTGGGGGAGTGAGTCGAAGAGGCAAAGCCCCCCTCAGACACCACGCATCCCTGCGGCTGGGTTTCCTTCCTCACTATTGACGTTCGGGGCCAGAGAACCCTCTGTGGGGGCTGCTCTGTGTTACAGGCTGTTAGCAGCACCCCTGTGTTCTACTTACTAGACGACAGTAGCACCCCCCAAACTGGCAACCCAAGTGTCCCCTGGGCAGGTGGGGTGGTCCCGCCAACACTGCCACCCAACCCGCCTGCTTGCTCTCTGGCCCCGGGCTCTGCTGGGCAGCAGGAGGCGCCTGGCGGGCTGGAGGGGATTGGCGGCCAGGTTGAGAAGGGTGCACGGCTCCCCTTGGTGCAGTTACGGAAGCGCCTGCCTCCGACTCTAACAAGACTAGAAACCTGGAGAAGTCTCTGTGCGCATGTGCAGGACAGAAGGAAGGAGATGGGGAGAGCTCGATTTATTGGGGTCTGAGCAACACTGCAGGTGAACTGCTCACACCTGCTTGGCAGTGCCCTTCCGGGTGTCCAGCTTCAGGTGGCCAGACAAGTCCCTCAGCTCCATGACCAGGTGGCCGAGGAGCACGCGCACATCCTGCATCTGTCTGAGGAGAAGGCCCATCCGGTGGTGCAGGTGGGGGTCGGAGGCCTGCAGGGGAGAGGGGGGCGCTGGGCCCCCTGAGGAAGGGCTGGGCGGCGGAGGCAGAGGCCTGGGTGGCTCCGCAGCAGGCATTCCTGGAGCCGCGGATTTTGGAGGAGCGGGGTTCAAGGTAGGTGGTGCACCAGAGCTCGAGGGACCTGGGTGTGGGGCAGGGAACACACTTACAGTGACTTCGGAAGCCCAGCTCCAGCCCGCCTCCCCTCCCCGCCATCTCTCCTGCGCTCTGACTGCCCAGGGCGGCGGAGACTCAAGGGCCCCGCGTCCCTCCTGGCACACGGGAAACCCTTCAGCAGGGAGGCTGGTCAGTGAGGGGTGTGGACGTCAGGGATCCTCCTGGTTCCCTGCATGTGGGTGGCACCTGCCCTGAGGACAGGGCGCAGCCTTCTGGGCAGGACCTTCATGGAGCTGGCCCCACCCCGTGCGTGAGCCACTGCCCGCCTGAGAGCCTCCCCTGTCCCTCCCCCGATTCCTGCCACGCGGCTCCCTGGCTCCCCGGACTCCTCTTCTGTGTTTCCCCGCCAGGAGCAGCCTTCACAGCGCGGCTCCCAGAACCAACATGGTGCTGTTTGCCTCACGTGCCCAGGGCCCTGGCGGGAGCGTCGCCCGTGAGCAGCAGCTGCGGAGCTGGCGTGGTCCTGCTGCGGAGAGGAGTCCCTGGTCTAGGGAGAAGTCCCTGTCTGTACTCTCGCCGTCCCCAGGGACCCGGCTCCTGGCTGCTGCCTCCGCTGTGCCTCTGCTCACACTGAGCCCCGCAAGGGCCCCCCTCCTGCCCCGCCCTCCACACGCCACTCACCCTGCACCCTGATCTCCAGCCGGGGGCTCCTTTTCCACACGTGGTTGTCCTCGGTGGCGGCCTCGCACCAGTAGGACCCCGAGTGGGCCTCTGCGGCTGCGGGGACCTGCAGCTCTGGGGACAGGCCCGGGCCGCGCACGGCCCGGCCCCCCTTGTAGAAGGAGAAGAGGAGGCGGGTGGCCGACCTCTGCGGGGGCAGCTTTGTCTGGCAGCTCAAGGTCACGGCGCTGCCCTCTTGGGGCTCTGGCGAGGGCGTGGCTCTGAGCACCGGAGCGGGAAACAGTTCTGGGAGAGACGGGAAGGAAGGGCTCAGCTCGGGCTCACACACCCTGGGGAAGGAGGTCCATCTTCACTGGCCTGGACTGGAGCAGATCTAGTGCCAGGGCATCAACCAGGATGCGTGGGATAGAGGGGCCCCCGGGACTCGGAGGGCCGAGGGGCTGCAGCGCGCCTGCCCCCCCCCCACAGGGAGGAGGCTTGTCTGTC